CTCTTGTTCCCGAGGCGTCTTCAATCTGGAAAATCGACATGGGATAAAATAAGCACTCTAAGAAAAGCTATTTTTGTTCTTTTGACTACAAGATAAAACAGAACAACCTGTTCATTACTAATGCTCACTGATTAAAGAAGACCCACATGTTACAGCTGCTTCCACTGACATGTTGTAGCATTATCTGGAAGTAAAGTTCAAGACCATATTTAAGGATAATTTATTTTAAAATGAACGAAGGAACCAAAACAAATGAATCACTCAGACAGGAAGGCGTTGGGGGGGAGAGGGATGACAAGGCCAGGCTGGGTGTTGAATGTGAACTGGCCCAGATGCAGCGCTGGTGTCTTCTGTTCAGTTTCACAGGACCAGGAGAGAGAGGACATGCAGAGGATGTTCATTCAGCAGTGGTACCTATGGGAAATTAATTTCAGTTTTTTATTGGACTTTTTCTTCATGTTGTTTTATTACCTTCGCCAAGGAAGTTTTGTATTTGAAATGTGTCTGTAATACAGAGTTTGTCTTTTTTTAAACTTTTTATTTACTTACTTGTACAACACTTGTTTTTTTTACCGGCAGTTTAAATAGATGAACTCGTAGCAATATAATAATAATATTTAAAAAAACTATTATACGTATTTAAAATAAAAGTAAAAACATAAAGCCTACATAAATAAACAATAATTATAATTCGTAAACTAATAAGTTAAAACAATTTATTAAATTCAAATTCTTACCAGGATTACAGAACAAGAACTGGCCTTATTTTCATGAAACTCGTTGAAAGGGAAACCACATACATTTTGGAGCCGGTCAGAATCAGGGGATACATTAATAATTGTTCACTTTCCAAAATATTGCATATGTTGCATTTGTCCATTGCTGATGTCTGTGCACTGTGAGTGCCCTAGTTCTCTGTGGGTTCATCATTACCTACCTACAAGTTCATTTAACACATTCATATTCAGATGCTTTACATTTAAATGGTGTATCGAACTCAGTTTTCAGACTAAAAGCTATAACATCCAGATGATATGGCAATATGGTCTCCATTCTGAAGCACAGGTGATCAGTCAAGCTTGATGCTGGCAGGGAGTCTATAAATAAGCCGTGATGCTGAGCGTTCCTCCAGCCCACCTTGGTAGGCCAGTGTAACCTCCGGCAGCTTTACATAGCTAATTTATACCCATCCCCTCCTGTCATGCTCTCTTTAAAACGCCACAGTGGCCGCGATTGGGTTAAAGAGAGATTCATTCGAGGGGATTGTTGGTGTAGAGGGACCCTGATGGAGATCATCAGAAAAGCTGCTAAAAACATACGAGCTCTCCTGAATGTGCTAATGGGAAAAGCTTGGTGCTGGGAACGTATGAACGCAGTTTCAGGAAGCAGTAAATGTCACTGCTCATTCTTTAATTATGTGGCCCATTCGTCCTCTGCGCTGTGGGAGTTTTAGAGGCTCGCTCAGGTGGGATCAGATCATGGTTTCTGGCTTATTCAAAAATGTCACTATGAAGACTGCAGTTAATGATTTTATTTCTAGAGTACATTTCTGATGTGTTCTCCGCTCGTAAGTTAGCATGCCTTTTTTAGCATGAACTTATCACCACCGATTTCAGCATACTAATGCCATTGGTAACCTCGCTGTATATCTTTGTCCTGTTTAAATAGCAGATGTAAAATACATTTTAACATTGAATCTACCTTTGTTGAGACTTCCAAGACAACGTCACCAGATGTTCCCAAGTCTGTGCAACGCAGCTGCTATCCTGAGAAACAAATCACTTTGTTTTCATTCATGCCGTATAAAGTTCTGGGACCAATATCCAGGCAGAACAAATGTCTTCCTCCGCGGAGCTGCAGGGAGTTGCAGTCAGAAGGTCTCCTGGACTGTGAGCCAGCAGAGATGGGTCCGTTAAAGGCCGACTTGGCGTTTGTATCTCCCCCGAGCCCATTATTTATCTCTAAAACGGCCTTGCTCGCAGCGCTGTTCATCCTCCCCCGTCGACCGTGATACAGTATCCTCAAAAGATGTTATATGGCTCTGTAAATCTGTCATCTTCAGATTACCAACAAATACTGAAACCAAATATTGCAGAATTTTAATCGACCCCCCCTTCCATATAATAATCGTAAATACTCAAGTAGTTCATGGGAAGAAAATAAACTTTGAAGCTAATCATTACAGACTACAAAGAATAAAGAACATATTGTGGGAGTGTTTGAAAGCACTGTACTACTGATTTCTCTCAGTTGCTGTTTTTCAGCTCACCTCCCATCTGGCTTGAATTGGATTAAACTGATTACATCTTAATTTTAATACTCTTTGGGGGGGTTGGTGAAGTGTGGTTGGTTTTCAGCTGCATGTCGTAAAATCACTGTCCTGGTAAAACATTTTATACCGTGGCCCAGAAAACTTTTCAGACAATGGCATTGGTGTAAATCTTGCCTGGAGCACATACGGCGTGCTGGGGGTGGGGGGGGTTGGTTGATGGGAGGCTACCATTTATCCCGCCTGAGCCATTTAAGTCCCCTTGTGGGAGTCAATGGTTTGGGCTCTTGAGTGTAACTTAGAGTCAGTCCTTGGTAACTTTAGCTTCATTTGTCTCTCTTACTGAGAACTCTGGGCCTGTTAACTCAGGTCATTCCCCCGTAATATGGCAATCTCTTAATTTGACCCCTTATTCCTCCACAGAGGAGTGATGGGAAGGATCTGTAAAACCTCTGCTGCTTGGAAAGCCTACTTAGTGACCTTTTTACAAGACCTGAAAACATTGCCGGTTAACATTTATATGTTATATTGCTCAAGAGAGAGCTTTCCTAGTCATTTTACCCTACGAAGAGTGAGAAGCAAGAAGTTGGTATGTATGGTTGGAATCTTGCAGGGTAAATTGGTTGGTTTTTCCAACATTATCTAAAGAAATTAAAGACATTTGAACTTATTTCTATGTACAAGGATTTACAACCAGTGGTGGAGTTTACATTAAGTACATCTACTTACAATTTGAGAGTCTTCTGTGCAATGAGGGATTATTATTTTGCACTTACTTAAATTAGTTTTGATCATTCAAAGCATAACTGATGTTCCTGCTCCTCTATCCTTCCCTGTGAACTTTGCTGAAGTGATTTTGCCGTGTTCCCGGATCTCAATAATTGCTTCAGGGAGTACGATGTTATCATAACCGATTGAAATGATGCCCCGAATCTACAAAAATAGTGGTTGAGAGTTCTGTCTTCAAGCAATCAGCTCTCTCTAATCTCCTTAACCACTTGCATGCTTCCCCTCATGCAACCTAATACCCAAGCCTGCCTTTGTGTGAAATAACAATGCACCATATTGTTTTTTCTCACCTCATCGTCTTCACAGATTATTGTTTAAACTGTGAGGAGACACCTCAAGTAATGTTGTGGTAGAGAGCTGGCTCCAAGTGGGTGTCAGTCAAACACTTTAATTTCCTCCTCGGTTGTTTGGTTTTAAACTCTGGGCACATCCCCGATGCCACGGTTTATTTTCTGTAGTCATATGTTAGCAAATATGAGGGGGTATCATTTCTGTCAAAACGTGCAAGTCCTCATCCCTCCTGCTGGCACTACGAAATACACCAGTTGGATGTTGGATGTGGATAGTTCCCCAGTATGTAGTCTCCTTCAAGTCAAACCACCTAATTCCCATACCTCCAGCAGCAGGTTAAGAATGGTTTGTTGTGTATTTCTCAAGTATAAAACGTGTGTGTGTGTGAGCTGGTTAATCGAGACATCCGCTCTAGTGTTGTGATTAGGGTTGCTGACTATTTGCTCTGTAGTGCGGCACATTCCTCGTAGCCTTAATTGATAGCAATCATGTGGTTTTTGATTTGGTGTTTGATTGGGAGCTTGGATTTGAAGTCTTGATTTGAAGGGCACAGGGTTTTTTATTGTCTTTGGAAAGCGAGGGCTGGATTCCTGAATGATAGCCTGCTACCTTGTAAGTCACATGAAGGGGCACCAGTGGGTTGGCACCGACCTTGACTTCTTTTCACTTTTTGTCTCTTGCCATTTCAGGAAGTTATAACTGGAAAGTCACTCAGTGAATAGTATATTCCCTCTGCGCCAAGAGCTGTCCATCTCGCCGGTTGTTTTTCTCTATAACCAGAGGTATTGTCCCTCCAGGGGACACCTGGCTTGTTCCCCACCTCCACAGTGCAAATGTTCCCTAGCTTAAGCTGCCAGATGTTATGAAAGGCTCTATTGAAGTAGACCTTTAGCTCATAAAGAAATCCAAAAAAAAGTCTCCATGGCTGAGAGGTCTATTCTGATAGCTTCAGTGACTGGACTATGTCATCTGATTTTACATGGGGATCTCACATGTAACTCTTTGTAAACCAAACACAGTCAGGAGCCGGACATGAAATCATGTGCTCCTTTTGTTAAGATGTTTTGGAGTCGGCATATCTGTGCATGCATGGACATTTCAGTTTTTTTTCAACATATTCATAAAAACAACGCTGTCAAACCAAAATCCAAAACATGCTAGTAGATTCTCTTGCTCCGTACAACTGAGAATTTTTGACATTTCCAAAACACAGTGCTGGCAGTAGACTGAGCAAAGCTGTCTAGAGCTAAAAAGAAATGAAAAACGGCAGCATGGGCTAAATAAAATGAGGAGAAAAGTGGAGTGTAAGAGGCAGACATTTGAGATTTTAGAAGAAGAAATTGAAAGAATCAAAGGAGGAAAGAAAATTGGTTTACAATTGTTGTCTGTCAACCATTATTCCTACTCTCTGACTGACACACACACACACACACACACACACACACACACACACACACACGTGTGAGGTTGCAGCTGGCCCTGTTCCTTGTTTGAACTAGCATGCTTGACTGAGGCACATTTATTGATTGGCTAGTGTACCAGACCTGAAGGACTCGTGGGGCTCGGATCCTGTCCGATTACTCCCCCCACATTCACACAAACATACACACACACACACACATACACTCCCAGCCCTCCTCCCCTCCCCTTACTCCTGAGGAAGAAGGGGAGCGAGTCAGAGAGGAGCCGGCAGGCAGACAGACGCGACTCAGAGTGACCTGGAGAGCCGAGCATCACACACACTCACTCAGAGCCGGGGAGGGTGACTCACACACTCTGGGAGGCATGGAGCGACATGTTGTATCTTGCAAGCTACTGGTGACAGCTCTTCTCATCCTGGTACTGTAACGTTTCATATTTTCCTCAATCTTTATCCAACAAAAAAACATTGTCTTTTATATTCAATGTATTCATTTAAATACTTGTCACGTGGGTTCCAATAGATTGCTTTTCCTGTGTAGGAGTGTGTCTGCATGTATTTTTGGATTAAGTGATTTATGCAGTAGAAATGCACTCTTCAGATGGTGGAGTCATTTCAGCTCTAACAAGGCAGTTAGTGTGAGCTGACTTGTGTTATTGAGTTTGGCTCAAACGTCCCGATGCCTCCTTTGTTGTTAAGTCACAAAAGAAGACTTGTCATGTGTTTGTTAGCACTCCCCGTTACATTGCAGTGAGTGCCTTGCTCGACGGTGAGTACAGTGGCGTGCTGCGTGGAGCAGACGACAAGGGATTCAGCAGATGTGCAAAATATCGTATGTCTTTCCGACTGAAAAGGCCATCGTGTGTATATTGACACAGTCTGCGAAAAAAGGCTCCAGAGTCTGGTTTCTTTCCCCTGCCGAGGAGTTTTCCATCTTCAAGGAAAATGTCCTTAGTCTCAGCTGCTGACAGGTGACTTAAATAGAATCTGTCCATCAGAATAACATAATATGGGGATCACTGGCCTTTTTTATCATGTGCTCATTTCCTCTCTTCCACTTTGGATGCCTGACAGCCACAGGGGCCTTTTGTGGTCACATGTTTGCTGTTTTTCTCCAAGTTAAAGAGCCAGAGAACAAATGTGTTTACATTTCACTGCTTTGTTGTGTAAATGCTAGTGTTACAGTGCAAATAAAACCCCAGAGCAAAAGAGGTTAGGAAGGCTCCAAGTCGATACCCGAGCCTTTTGATAATTGGATCCAAATCCCAGCAGGACTGCCGTGAGCCTTGTGTTCCTCCGCCTTTTTTATTGAGAACAATAGCAGCACCGTCAGCCAAGCAACCTCCACATCTCCATCCCTCCGTCCCCTCCTCTGTCTTCACCAGCCTTGTTTTGCCTCTGGCCCTCTTGGCTTTGCAACACACAGCTCCCAGCCGTAAATGAGGTCAAAATTCACTGATTGCTTTTCAAAGGAGAATTAAGGTGGTGTGTTAAGCGGCTGCCCAGAGCACTGCCTGTGTTTATTTACCGTGGATCCAAACACGAGAATAGTTGGCCCGTGCAGAAAGTAGAGACGATGCGTTTGGCTGCATGCTCCATTGGCGGCGTGTTTAGGTCTCTCCGTTCCCCTCTGCTGTTCCTCAGGCGTCATCAGCACTGACAGCCATTTATATCAGTCCCCACGCACTTTTAATAACGTGAACCCACCACCCTCGCTCCGTAGCTTACAGCATGGGAGTTTTTGCTACCGTGACCCAAAGAAAATAATCGAGGCAGTATTATTACCTCGATTCTGCTTTCCCCTGAAATCCATTCATCTTTGTAGACCAAGCACAATGCCATGCTGTTGGGGGAAAAAGGGGCCAAAGACGTCAAAATAACTCAGCGTATCCTGAGTTTTTCTTCTAAAATCCCAAGGCTTTGTATCTCAAACGCAAGGCTGGACATTCACTGTAAACTATTTGTCAGCTCAGTGGGCATAAATCTTTTTGAGGGCAGGTGTTACGCATAGGGATGCACCGAATATTCGGCCACCGAAAATTCTCGGCCGAAAATGGTTAAAAAGGCCCTTTCGGCGAAAAAATATCACGAAAAAATATCACCGAATGTCAGAGAACAGGGTTACGTTGATCATACTCCGCGTATTTGTCCGGGTGTTTTGATTTCAAGTGGTGGAGTAATCCCGAAGTGGTGAAAGTCTTTGCAGTTACACCCCCTCGAGAAATGTCAGCTGAACACGTTTTACAAATCGCAATCCGCGCCTCTCTCTCTGATATTTTGAAATATCTCCAAGCGGCAGACATGTTGGCTCTGAGCCAGCCGCGAGCATGGTCGCGCGCCGTGCTTGTCGCCGCGTTTTGATTACGTCATCACAACAACACGTTAGGTTACTAAACTTATAGGTGCATTTGTTGTTGTTGAAGGCCTGGCTGTTAGTCTTTATTTACACTATTTTGTTGTAGGCCTACTGGCCTAGATGTTTATGCAGGTTTAAAGCACCTTGGCTTTGTTCTGAATGCACTTTGTTGTAGTTATCCTACAGAGAAAAGAAAATGCACTTGACTTGGAATTAATGTACTGAATGCATTCAAAAGTGCTCAATAAATGTTTTATGGACCCATAATAGTGATTATTATTGAACTTAAGTTAAGTTTTGAACTTAACTTAAGTTTTAATCATGTCTTTTTCCACAATCAGGTAGCTGAACAACATTGGTAAAAAAATGTATACGTTATATATAGGCCTGTCACGATAAATAATTTTGTTTCGGCCTTTCGGCATTCGGTTTTCGGCCAACTGTTTCCTATTTTCGGTATCGGTTTCGGCCAAGAATTTCCCATTCGGTGCACCCCTAGTTACACATAATGTTCTCTGGCTTATTCAGTGTGTTTAGAGTAGTAGGGCTTGTTGTGCACCACATTTCATTCCTAATCTGCAGGGCTTTGTATTTTTAGGTCACTTTCAAAAACTGCTGGACAAACTGGTGTACAGATCCCGTGCTATGTATATAGCACACAAAAGCTGCCTTTTTGAAAACTTAAAATAATCTTTCATGGTTCACCTACACTATAATGACTGCCTAAGTGTTCAGGTTATTGTACAAAATGATAATTTTCTCTTGGACTCATCTATTCCTTTTCAAAGCCTTAAAGCCTCTGTTGAATGGCAGATTATTTTATTGAATGTGTTTGCACCTCACGTCTTTGAAACCACATTCCTGCTGCCATGGAAGGTGGATGATTTGTCCCAGTCTTGGTTCCAAGTCTTTTCTTTCATTTTCCAGGTTTTCATCCATTTAACAGGTATAGAACCAGCTATTTTGGCAGCTTTGAGTGGAATACCTCCACGGAGCTAAGCTGCCCTTGTTCTAGATCGCAGAAGCAATATATTTTCCTTTTCACTCCATCTGAATCTGTAACGTAGCGCTCTGACTTCATTCAGTCAGACCTGCAAAGGGCATTGAGAAGAGCTCTGCTGCTGAGCACAGCCAAGACAAAGAAACGTAACTCATGTGAAGCAGTAGGTGATCCGCATCAGATGACAGTGCCAGCCTTACAAATAAACACCTTCTTTAGCACAAGGTGTCAAATCTAATCTGGAAATACAAAAAGGCCTTGAAAAGCAAAGAGTAGTACAAATATTTTAAGATAGGGTGGAGAGGATCTTTTATTTCTTGGCTTTTTCTCTTCATCTGAGATCCACATTGTCCTTGCAGTCACAGGATTCATCTTCTCATAATATTGACTTTGGATCCTGCAGTAATAGCCCTACAGTACCTCTGCTGCCAAATACAGCACAATGCAATTAGCAGAGAGACACACAAGCGAGGCCCGAAGTTAAAGAGAGGACTAACTTTTCATAATCTGAAGAATGACATTTGAGATATTCAAAAGGGGAAAAGTTGAGCGCTTTTGATTACTTCCTCTTGCACTCTTGCTCATCCTGTCACATGCACTTGTGTTTCTTTTTCAGCAGCTCATGGACTTTAATTCAGGATAGCAGCTCTGACTTTTCTGTGTGTCCTGATTAAACCAAGGAAGCCACATATTGTATCTCAAAAGAGGGATACGAAATAATCAGTTTGGTTGGGACTTGCAGAGATGATGATAAACAATATAAAAGACAACATTGCATTGGTTTGAATGGATGTGGTGATAAAAGTGAGAATGCTAAATGGTAACTGCTCAATGGTTTCTATGACAGATCTCTCATGGGTAACTCATCACTTCCTCCTTCTCTTCTGCCTGTAGAGCTCAAGGACGGCGCGATCCGAGGAGGACAGAGACACTCTGTGGGACGCCTGGGGTTCATGGAGTGAATGCTCCCGGACCTGTGGAGGAGGCGCCTCATACTCCCTCAGAAGATGCCTCAGTTCCAAGTAAGTCTCACACATACTCTACATACAGGGGTGTTTCCACAGCATAGTCTACTTGCCATTTTGGGTTTTATTTGAGCAAATGTTGTAGAGGGTACCTGGTGTCTTTGTTGGTGCCACCTTAATCAAGGTTAAGACCTTAGATTGGTCGGAGAGAATCTTCAAGCAACACCATTGGTGATACTCATGCAACATTTGTAATCATAATATCTACCTCAAAATCACACCTAATGTGGTACAAGAATGGAATTTAAGGTAATGATTTTTAACTAATGAAACAAAAGTGCATTAACTAAATGTAAACTTCTTGCTAGTTAAACCAATCAAAAGCAACATCTGTTTTGATCACTCATCAGAGTTGGGGCTAATGTACTGTAATGCTGCGTTCACACCGGACGCGATGCGACGTTTGGGGGCGGCGCGATTACATTGCAGAGACACGATCAGACGCGAATTCGCTCCGACGGCGCGCATGAAGCGGTGGACGCGGCACGAATCACGCGATTGAGGCGATTGAAGGGGGCCGCGTCAAACGCGAGAGTTCAATTTTTTCAACTCGAGCGTCAAATTCACGTGACGCATTCTCGCGGAAGCCAATCAGAGGTGAGGATCTCAGCCTGCCGTCACTGACGTTCAACCAGAAAACATCAGCCATTAGCTGTTAGAAGTTAGCACACAGAGATCACAGCGCCTCATATCTTTTCAGAAACTGTACAGAAGTTAAACAAGTACAAACTACAGACTGTGTCATGGCGAATACAGTCGCTGGTTTATTTATGTCTGTAGGCTGTTGTTATGAGTGTGAAGTGAGCATATACAACGTTAGCTTAGGAAGCATGTACTCTACTTACACATTTGAACTATGTCTTTCTTAATTATTTGTTAAATGCATAACTAAATATGATAAATTGATTAAAAACAGCCTCTAGAAAATAATTGGTATTCCTTTTTTGGAGTCCTGTGGACCCTTCGTACTTAGAGGAAAGCATACCTTAAGTAAATGCGACGATTTGTAAGTGTGTGTTAAAACACTATCCGAGGTAATCTCCCTTTTATAAAGAGCTAAGTCCTGACTGGGGTTGGACTGGTTTCCATTAAAGTGCCATATCACAGCTTTAAGATTTCGAGAGAGGGAAAGGAGGAGAGTGTGGGGGGGTTCTTTTTGCTCAGGGCCGTTCTGCCAAATAAATCCAGACAGCGTCCCTAATAGTTTGAGTAAATCTCACTCCATTCCCATGGGCTGCAGTGAGAGTGCTCACAATACATATGACTGTAATGTGACGGTTAAATAGCCCTGAGGGGTCAACTGAGATCACTTGCCCATCCACCTCCTAGTGCTGTCTAGATGGCCATGTGAGAATTAATCTTGAATTCATCATCAGTGACAATGGGGATATGATTTTCAGTAATGAAAATTGTAAATCAAAGCCTACAGTAACAATCAATGTATCTTTCCAAAGTGCATGTCACTTTTAATAACTTTACTGTGATAGAGTTTGGGAACCCATGTTGGTTTGATTCCCACTGCTCATCATCTCTGCTTTTAAAGTCTGGGTACGAACTTGAACTTGCACTTTGGACCTTTTTGTCCTTTCATCCTGGTGCTAAAGTCGCCCGGTTAGTTAGGCTTCAAGCTCACTGAGCACTTCGAGATTAAAGCTTGAGGCAAAGTGTAATGGACAGAGTGGTCAATTACAAGTGGATTTAAGGAAGAAAAAATAGGAGAAAAGGGAATGAGAGGGTATGTTTCCTATAAAAATGTTGTCACATTTATTGACTGGGAAATAGCTGCGGGGTGACTTCACTGCATTCCTCTATTTTACAGTTCCCCGAATGTATTGCTCTCTCGCTAAAGGTAGCCAGGAATGCTGCCAAAGTCGCCCCTGTTTCAGTGTTTGGGGTTCAGGGGGAGATCGTAAAACATTACAACTATCCAAAGACAAAAAAAATAATGCAGATCATATCTGAGGTGTGCCATAAGGTGCTTTTAACCATCTGTCTGCACTGGTGCTGGGGAGCCAGGCTGAAAAGCATGAGGCTGTGAAAACCTCAAACTGAAAGTGCCAGACCCCCCATGTGCTACTCTGTAAACACTGAGGTCAATGGCTTTTTGAGGAGTTCATTTAATGATATCAGCAGCGGTCATTTCTCTCTGCTTGCCCAGATTATTTTGGTCAGTAACACCTTACAACGCTACTGGCTGTAAAAGCAATTGACGTGTTAAGAGGTGTTTGGGGTCTGAGCCTCATGTGGGATGTAGGTGGTGTAGAAGTCCGCGGCGGGTATGTTTACAAACTCGTGTGTTGTTTGGCAGTAGCAGTAATGTATGTATTTTCTTTTTGGGGAGGAAATGGTAGGACCCTCCGTCCCACCTCATCCCACCTCACCCTGCTTTTGCGTGGGAACACCGGAGCGGTAGCCTGGGACCGGGTGGCAGATCAAACGGCGTCATTAAAAAAAGCCCAGCACAAGGCCCCTTGTGTGTGTGACTCTTTGGAAAGAGAGGCTGGAAACGGGCCTGCGACACCCTCCAAACCAATACCACTCCAACTTCCCGACCTTTAAACACACACACACACACACACACACACACACACACACACACACACACACACACACACACACACACACACACACACACACACACACACACACACACACACACACACGTAAGACCAAATATTGAAACGCACACGTAAGACCAAATATTGAAACGCACGAGTGAGACAACGAACGAGTGAGACAACCGCACATGCACAGCGCAGATTGCTGGCCCTCATTAGTCCCCCCTTCACTTGATCACAATCTCCATTATTAACAACAGCATTGGAAGCGAGTGTGGACATATGGATTGAGTGTTATGGCGAGAGAAAGCGCTGCTCATATTTTTTACGAGGCTCGTGGTTTGGTCATATTGGTCTTTTATTGTTTATCAAATTGAAGCCAGCCTTGACTTTATTTTGGCTTTTTTTGAATGTTTGAAAAATTCATGTATCCTATTATAGAGCAGAAACAATTAGTTGACTTTCAAATCAACGGGAAAATAATTGCTAACCATTCTGATAATGTATTAATAATGTTGTGTTCAGCCTCTCAAATATAGTGATTTCATCTCTTTATCTTTTTTATATCATATTAAAGTGTTTATGTTTTGGTTCAGAAAGACAAAATAAGACATTTGAAGACATCACCTTGGAATTAGAGAAACTGGAATAGACATTTTTCCCTTTGGAAATCTAGAAAACGATCAGCAGATTTACAGATAATAAAAATAATAATTATTAGCAGACTTACCCCATTAAAACCTTCCAACATGAAGAAATAAAGCTGCACAATCCTATGCAGGGGAACAAGTTAAATACGTATATAAGTGTTGAAAATAACTTCTCACCCAGATGAGGATGTGTTTACTCTTCATTGGGTCTCTGATTAGCAGAAATACTGGCAGTAGCATTAAATGACTGGAATGTTCACCAAAGCCAGGCAAGGCTGTGTTATAAAGTCTTGTTTTTAGATGGGGGTGGTAGTTAAAAGAGCATTTTCTCCAAGGGAATGACTGATTTAGCTGCCCTAATTAAGTTGGGCCTGGCACCTTGATTATGTGTCCTTTACAGAATAAGGGACCACCCTTTGGAGTGCTAAAAACATCTCAAAAAGTCAGCTTGTCACGTAGATATTTCGTCTGGGAACCATGAATGTCTGTACGAATGATTTTTCCAAACCATCTTGTGGGTTCAGAGATATTCCACTGGATAAGTGAAGACTTTGACATGCACTTTATGAGATGTCCGGAGTCAAAAGACCCATTATCTGTCATCCTCAAAATATAATGATCTCCGGCTCTTTTCAAAAAACGTACTGACAAAGGAAATTAGTATTTCACTTTTCTACTATTCTTTCATCTTTCTCAACTTTATATTAACCTTCCTAGATGTCCTGAATGCTCTTAATTTCCCAAATTGATCACAGGGACTATTTTTTGAACTATTCATGTACCCACCCACCTCAAGTGTATCAATATTATGGCGAAGGTCATGGAGCCCGGTTGCAATTACTTTCAATCTAGTGAGAAGACTTGATGACATATATATAGACATTATGAGCCAAGAACACTTTAATGCATATCCAATATTTAAAGGGAATTCATTTTTCATGGTTACTATAGATTTGAGTTCCTGTCTAAGAATGGGGTTGTTGGCACGCAAGATGCTAGTTTCACTCTCTATGCAGTCTCATTGATGTAGTTGTGTCTTCTGTGAATATTTGGCAGGAAAGAGCATGGCCATAGTCTATGAGTTATGTGTTATGTGCTCCTGTCGTTTTTTTCCCTAACCTATAATGACGCCATGATGAATCTCCAGTCCCGGCCCGACTTCTGCTTAGCCTTCACTTTAGCTTCCAAAATTAAGAGGAAATGAAAAGGGAAATTCACTTTATTCCCTTTGCCCCTATACTGTATATATATATATATATATTGCTCTTCTTTTCTCCTGTCTCTGGAGTCTTTGAAAGGCTCTTGTTTGGGTCCGAGCCTCGTGACCCGCTGTTTGGCTCGGCAGAGGGGACCGTCTGGATACGTAACGGAGTCTAATGTTCCTGCCATGCCCATGCCACACACTTCACATTCACTCCCTCCGCTCTCTGGAATAATATTGTACAAAATCCTCCAGCCATCGCTCCTCCGTGAGTCCAAACTCCACGATGTTGCCTCCAATCATGATTCCAGATTAGCTAAAGGACGACGACACTGGAATTCCTAGAGTTTCCAAAACTCCAAAGAAAATCCTTTGATAAGTTTCCACTGGGGGCTCGGATAATAGGCCTATCATAGTCACCATCAATGGTTTATCATCACTCGGCATCAAAGCACAAAGGAATCCTTATTTTCAATAAGTGGTTAGCTCCATCATTTGGGTAAAGACACTGCGGACTGTCGTGACCCAAACCGCTCCGATCTGTTCAGCAGACGCCACTCTACTCTACTACTGTGTGCACTTCTGTTGGCTTACAAAGCGATGACCACACCGACCACTAAGAAAAGAGTTTAGTATTTTATTTTTGGATTTTGAGTACCGATGGACTCTGTTTTAAACATGTCCTGCTTTATATCTAAAGTTTGTGGAAGTTCATTTTCAGACTTTGACCTATTCTTTTTTTTCCTCAAGTAGGCTATGCAAGTTTGAAATCAATCGTAATTTGCAATATTGCAGGATTTGTTTCATCCTGTTCCCCACACAAACATCCCCCTTGTGTGAATCGACCATCACAAAATTGGAATGAAATTACATTTTAGCAAATATATCACAAAGCCCTTGTTTAAATGTTGTTACATCATCAATATAGGATTCCGAAAAAGAGTCAATAGTTGGAGAAGATGGCTGGTTTGGATTGTGTTTTTTTCATCATTAACCTCCAAAGCCTGTGTACTCACATGTTCATTTCTTTCTTCTGCAGGACCTGTGAAGGGCAGAACATCAAATATCGCACCTGCATTAATGTGGTAGGTTGGTCAAATTCAAAAAGCTTTTAAGGGCCTTTTTCTTAATGAAATGAGCTGAGCACATTGTGATAAGAGTAGTGGAACTGTCACTAGGTTACCAAGGTTTATGGTCGAAGGGTGTAATGAAGTCATATATGATTCTCTTGTTTGAGAGACAGTGAGAAGTTAAGTAGGGAAACATCACTCTAGTTCTCCTTTCAGTTAGCGATCACTACTTTGACATTCAACAATCGCTATTCTCCTGCATTACAGTTGTGATAGTCTTTGCACTAATTATAGAAATTGGCTTAACATTTTCTTTGCCCCTCAGGATTGTCCTCCAGAGTCCGGTGACTTCCGTGCCCAGCAGTGTTCGGCCCACGCAGACGTGCGGTACCAGGGTCAGTACCACGAGTGGCTTCCTGTGTACAATGACCCCGACAACCCCTGCGCTCTCAAGTGCAAAGCGAAAGGCTCGGGCCTCGTGATGGAGCTGGCCCCCAAAGTGCTGGACGGGACCCGTTGCTACACCGAGTCTTTGGACATGTGCATCAGCGGAGTGTGCCAGGTAGGAGGAAGAATCCCACTGTGAGGAATTCATCTTGCTTCTTTTTAATGTATCTATCATGATAAGCCCCACACTTACTGTATTACGTAGGCAAAATAGAGGGTCTAAAGACACACTTTTAAGAAACCAATAAATATAGTTTTGATAAATCTTATCATGAAAATCTGCAAAATGCATCCTCCAGAGGATGAGGATGAGGATGAGGATTCTGCCAGGCTTAGATCAAATTGAAAGCATTTTTGTAGAAAATTAGGACAAACATAATAATACATGTTAATTATATAGCGTTTTTCCTGGTGCTCAAAGCGCTTTACATTAAATTACATTACATGTCATTTGTTAGACGCTTTTATCCAAAGCGACTTACATACATTCAGTACTGTGGACAATCCCCACAGGAGCAATTTGGGGTGAAGCTTGTTGAGGGCTTTGTAAGTGAAAAGGAAGATTTTAAAGTCAATGCGCTGTTTGATGGGCAGCCAGTGGAAGTCGGGAGGATAGGGGTGATGTGGTCCGAGTATTTATGCAGCTTGATCAATGTAAAGTTTTAATTGAATCATTAAAACTTCAGATTTGATTTGATACTATCCTTTGACAATTTGATTTGAGACACCCTTTTGAGATTAATCAGATTATTTGAACATGAATTTTAAGCATTTGCATTTTTTTAATAGAATTTAAAGCCAAAATCAGTCCCTAAAGCTGAATATCTTACTTTTATTGAAGTATATTCTCGTCTTGTTTAGCTCATTAATTAAGAATTAAGCTCTGTGCAAGAAATGAAATAAAACATAACACATGTTTTTTTGTATTGTTATTCAAACAATAAAACTTAAACAGTTGGTTGACCAACAATACTAACGTCTCCACATCTGCTTTACAGATGAATCTTTAATGAGGATAATATCTGAGTGACAGTACAGGAAACACTTTACAATGCATTTTCTCCCGGTTGAATGAAATGACGTCCCATTCCTTGTATGTGCAGAGTCTCTCTTACCAGGCTTATTATCACACTGTGGTTCTGGTTTTATCTTACCGACAGAAATAGTTAAAAACTCCATTAATCAACTAGGCATGATTGCGGATGATGTTTAAAAAAAACACTGGGGGACAGTTTAAGCAGGGTATTGTAGAAGTAGAAACAATACATCTGGTCTGAATATGGAAGAGCCCTGAGGGATGGTTTGATATTTTTACTATAACCTTTCAATAGTATGAAGGAAGACATCTTCTTTAACTAACTCAACATAATATTACTGGGAATTTTACAAGTATCTTTGTTCTTCTTTTTATTATTTCACAGTTTATTTATTTTGATAAAAATGAAAATTAGAAATCATATTGCTGGACAAGTTTTGGATAATGTTTTGTTATGAATTATGTATTTGCAGTGGTATAGAGTACATTTACGAGATACTTGTACTTGAGTATTTCAATTTTAACCCACTTTCTACTTCTACTCCACTAAAATTCAGAGGTAAATGGTGTCCTTTTACTCCACTACGTTGAATTTGCACCTTTAGTTACTTTGCAGATTTGAATTAATTATGTGAAAGGTGCTATATTAATATAGTTTACACTTAAATAAGACTTTAGTTACGCAAGCTACCCTGCAGCCCCTTTACTGCCTTTGATAACACTTTAACCCATCAATAATTATAATCAAAACATATTATATACATTATTCTGAAATGGACCAATCTGCATCGTGAGTATTTCTACTTTTGGTACTTTAAGTATATGTTGATGCTAACTCTTTTGTACTTTTACTTGAGTAACATTTTGAATGCAGGACTTGTACTTGTAACAGAGTATTCCTGCACTGCACTCTGGTACTTTTACAGAAGTACAAGATCTGAGTATCTCTGTGTATTTGTCTATGTGTGATAGATTGTAGGTTGTGATCATGAGTTGGGGAGCGCAGTGAAGGAGGACAACTGCGGTGTGTGCAATGGAGACGGCTCATCCTGCAGACTGGTGCGAGGACACTACAAGACCCAGCATGCATCAGGAAAAAGTAAAGTATCTCACTTCAACAAATTCAAATAATAATCAGTGTTCTTATTGTATCTGTATTTGTGATCTGTATAACTATTAATGATATACTTAAAGCTGTTTTTTTTCAATGTCTCACTGCAGCTGAGGACACGGTTGTTGCCGTCCCCTTTAAGAGTCGTCATGTTCGCCTGGTCCTGAAAGGCCCGGATCACTTGTGTAAGTCTTGGTAGGTCCAGGGTGCCCTTCCATCCAAAACAGTTGAACATGATATTTGTATTTGGCTTTGTTTTTTATCGCCAAATACCTGCACATTAAACACAAGTTTTCTGCATGTGCTTTGGGAGTTTTACTGCCGGTCATGTTGTGTTTTAAAAGACTTGCGATTCAAAAGAAATATTACTTTTCCATTATAAGTTATACTTGCTTGACCTCTAATGAATATCTCGCCCAAAAAGCATTGTGAAGTCAACATTTCATTATGAAATATATTACATTTTGGGCTCTGCTTTTGAAAGTAGCTCAGCACAGAATAACCAGATATTTATTTTTCCCCATTGCCCTGGCTCAGAGAAGGTGTGAGGCTTCCAGCAGATCTCTCTGGTGTCAAAGTGCTGGCATCAGACTCCACACTGTTTCAAATCGATAACAAATGTTCCATTTCAGCATCTAGCTTTTTTCCACGCTTAGTTTAGAGATTGTTTCCTGGGCCAGGTCGAAAGATTTTCTGAATGGACAGATTTTTCATTTAATATTTCCCTCTTTCTCTTTGGCCAAAAAGCTCTTAAATTGTAACCATGTGTCTGCTGGTTGCTGCTTCCCGCGTTCCCCCATTGTTTTTGTTGAAAAGTCCTTGCTGAAATCACACAAGACCCTTATTAGGCCAGGGATAAAATCACACAAGACCCTTATTAGGCCAGGGATAAGGGGAGGTAAAACAGTGAAGAGGTCACTGCTCTTCCTTTAATTTGCTGTTTCAGTTCAGAAAATGTAGACAAGAAATGATGATGATCGAAGATGTTGAATCTTTCTTGTATTTTAACCTACAAACTTCCTTTTGCTCAAGCTTTCACTTTGTTTCCTCTTTCTAGACGTGGAGAGTAAGACCCTGCAGGGGGTGAAAGGTGAGCTGGTGTTGGATAAATCGGGGCAGTTCCTCCTGGAGAACACCACCCTGGACTTCCAGAAACTTTCCGATAAGGAGATCCTGAGAATCACCGGCCCACTTGGAGCAGATTTCACTCTCAAAGTAAGAGCCTAAGTATATATCTATTAAAGCTGTACTCGTTTTTTTTCCTCCATGGTTTTGTTAATTGAGTTTTTCGGGGAAGAAGACCAAGCTATTCAGTTTTCGTTGCCCATTTCTTGACGGGAAAATGTACATTGATAAATACCTCAATAGGTGGAGAGCTAGTAGTAGTGATAATTAAGTGATTAGTATAAGAAATAATTAAATATAACAACAATGTATGGAGAAAAGAGATAGAAATAATTATTGTTAATAAAATAAAGGAGAGATAGCAATAGGGACAACAAATATATGTAAAATCCTTGGTTACAAATACATAATAATCAAAAAACTAATAACAAATACATAAATTATAAAAATGATTAGGAAAGAGAATTCTAAATAATTACAAACAAAATAAAAGAGAGTTTGTAATAGTGATACAACATTTTAAATAGAAAATAATAAAAAATAAAACCATAATGAAAAGTGCTTTATAAATAAAGCTTTATTAGCTTATTATAATGAAAAACCCAGAGTTTCAAACTAGAGAAGAAAAAATCCAATATTTTTATATTAATAATAATTATATTTGTGTAATGTAAAACAAGTTTTTCATAGCGATGAGTCCACAGAGAATTATCTCTCAACTCTTCATTTCCCTTCCGCTTAACGTGAAAAATGTGTGTTTGACTCATCGAGGAATGTGAGGCTCGATAAATAATCACTATACAGTAAGTGTAGAAACACAACACTTAATAAATCCATATTCATAGATTCCCCTCATAATTCAGTATTGGAGCATAGGATTATTTTTGACAGAGCTTACATTGTGTGTGTTGTGCAATGCAGTACACTCACATGCTGACACTCTAGGGCCAGTGGGTGGACATTAAGAGTTATACTTGGAAACGCCTGTGAAAACTTCCCTCTTCATAAACACACAACTCAGGACCAGACAATAAATATGAATTCCCGAGACAGAAATCTGAGGAGTTATAAATGCATAATTGCCTAATCTGTTAAAAGATAGACAGCCAAATCATATCAAAGTGCTGGAAAGGTTGGAGAAACGGAAAATCATATTAAAAAGTCTCCACTTCACTTAATGTGAGTGAATGGCAGCGGGTTGATGCATACATATGTATGCATTTTTTTCAATGTGGTGAATGCGTGACGTTACGGGAATTATGTTTTCTAAAATATTTCGTACGCTTTCCCGAACTAATAACAAATGAGGCCTTATTTGAAAGGTCACCTATTATGCAAAATCCACTTTTTCATGTCTTTTATACATCAACATGTTTCCCCTCTGTGTAAAGAGATTCTGAAAGTTTCAGGAAAAAATATTTGCTCACTTTTTGTCCTGAATAAACCTGTCTGAAAATGAGCTGATCAGATTTTGGCCACTTTATGACGATTTTTTGGGTCGTGCAACTATTAGCCAATCACCAACCAAGGTAGCACCCGCCCACCTTATCACCTGAATCTCCTCCTATATCTCTGAAGGGCGTGGGGAGTGGCTCCTTATTTTCATCTAAAGTAACAGACAGAGAATCAGCACTTTTGAAACAGGGCTGAAACAGAGGGGATTATGGGATGCTACAATGATCGGTTTGGTATTTCGAGCCAAACACTTCAGAGACATGTTTTGTATATATTTGAGACCTATAATATATTGATGAAAAACAGTATAATAGGGGACCTTTTAATTGACGAAGATTAGATTCAACTTTATTGTCATTGTGCAAAGTACAGGTACAAGCAGTTAGTATCCAACCAGAAATNAGCCTTTGTTTCTTCTTTACCTTGTCCGATTGTTCACACGGGTGAGAGGAGGATTGCCAAAGTTGTATTTGACATGCGGCTTTTATTGATGGAGTGGTACAGATAGATTAATACTTGAACGAAATGAAAGTACCTTTGTGTAAAAACCACTATTGTCTTACATGTTTCATTGTATAAATGGCTTGTGTAAAAAAAAAAAAACAAGATGCGGTGATTGTAGTGAATGTAAATTTACACACGACGCAGCCAAGTCGGTAAGAGGTGTTCCCAAAAACTTTAACGAGGCACGCGTTTCGTAACACCCCTAAAATTCCTGCGCTTCAGATGGCACACGTCAGAGCTTTTAAAGGGGGTTATAGTGTTCCTGCGCCGGAGCACCTTAAGGTTCATACGACCTCTAACCTTGTCAGGACTCCGCCGTTAGCTACTGGTATCGTAGGAAGCTATTATAACCGAACCTTCGGTGTCAAAAGGAGCTCTAAGCTCTCAACATTTGTTATCTAAGGCTGGTGTTACAAAGTACGGTCCTGTAATGTCTACGGTGGTCCTTAGCTGACGTCACTACCTACGGGGTTCCATCGATCTCAAGTGAGGGCCGGCAGTAGTAGTTTACAGTGATTTGCCGGTGGCTAAATCTGTGTTGCTCTTCGTCTGTGTGGTTTGCAGGTAAGGTCCTATCGCTTGACTGAGACGTGACTGTTTTTTCTACAACGTCGTCGCATTGTTGGTTAAAGTGTACGGTGCATCTGGTGAGCGATAAGTCTATCTCTGCAACGGTCGTGTCTTATCACTCCGTGATGGAGGTGGAGGCGAATGTTCTGAGTATGTATAAAGTAACCTATTCACATTATCATCTCTAACACTAATCAGTCCAAAGTCAAACAGTCACTTGTTTCCCTACAGTGTCTGATATGTATAACAATTTACATGAGACGGTGAAGGTTAACTGGGGTTGTATCTATTGTGGTAATTCTAATAAATAGAAATCTTTAACACTGTTCTAATCACAAAACTCTCACAAACTAAAACGGAGTCGCTATAACATATAGAACCAACGGTAAGGAACACGCATATTATTTACTAGTTCGAGGGTGGAGTACAGAAGTATCCACTTTTGATTGTCTACGGTTGAGTTAAAGGGTATAAAAGTAAAAGTGACCCTGTGAGAGTCTGGAAGTTTGTACGGCCTTAGTATAAGTATGTAAATTAAACTATGTTTTCGTTTACGTAATAAGATCATTACTCCTGCAGACGTTGATTTTCCTTTAGTGAACCCTCACCAAAACCTGAGAACGGATATACGTATAAATTATATGTCTTTATCGGTGCCTCCATGTAAATTTTGTCGAGTCCTCAAAGACTTCTCTCGTCACCCAACCTGTAATTTCAAACGACTCCACGCAACTTTAAGACCGATATCCCGACGTCCCTATTTTTTGAGGTATTACAACTACCAAATTAGGAAATTGACAACATCGAGATACCGTTCAGTCAGTGGTTTCTCCGAGAAAAGAAGGTGTTACGCGGAACGGTTCATGATGCTGGCTACTTATGTTTGATGTTAAAGTAACCTGGTGAGTACCGGGGTAATCTTCACCTTCGTAACGTCACAATGTAGTCACCATCAAAGGTGCCGTTGAAATTGGAAAAAAGACTCACTGAAACACAATGTACCTGCTCCTCGTTAGTTTGAGACTCATGAGAAATCGAATAAAATAGTTCACTTCAGTTATGCACGGCACTACTCCTTTATAATACAACACCTTCGTTAAGTATGGTACTGGTGTAAGAACAACAAAGTTCCTACTGAACTAATTAGAGTTGTCGATTTAATGTTATTCACAGTAACGAAATTTAAGTTAGGCGATTCATGAAACGGAGGTATGCGAAAAAATTTCACTAACACTTTTACTAACATAGATGGAGTCAGCAAAGTCTTTGTACATAGTAGGTTTACAAACAAATTAACTAGAAGAAGAGTAAGGTCAACGTCAGATGAGGTAAAGTGAAAGGTTACAACTTTTCCTGTATTCGACGAGTAAAAGTCTGCAGAGTATAGTCATGACAATCACAGAGATGACCTGTACAAGAGGTACGATAATTACAAGTTTTTCGAGAAATAAACAGAAGTATGACGGACACGACGTACGTGGAGAATAAAGTGGTGAAGAGACCAAACTTTTGCCTCCCTGGTCAGACGACGTACTAACCAATCGACCGCGGCCGAGAAAACACTAACCCAGTTTGGGCGGCAATCTCTACAGGGCGGGGAATCAACGACCTCCGCGATCGCTATCGTCACTCTCACGATGTATAACTCCCAGTAATACAGATGTAAATACTATATAAAATTGAAAACAGACCGATTAACGGTCCCTTTGGGCACGTAGGTTTACTTAAGAAAAGTGGCTCAACGTTTATTAAGAGTAAGGTGGATTTGCGACCGTATATATGCCGGAGCGGCCTACGTTTTTTCACAAGCATTAATAACGGACATATGACCTGGAATTTTATGGAACATTAGGATGACCAGTGCTAAGAGAGATAATCATCGCCACTTTGTCTCACCACACACACGACGCAACTCACTGTATCTAAAGTAGACTTACCCAGTGCCCCACACCAGTGCCGTCATCAGATGCGTTCTGGTGACACATAATTTGTAAATTCGTACACACACACAACGAACAACCACATTCACCATTTGTAGAACAACCGATCAGCGACGCGTAACACAATATACCCGTAACACACCACTCGCGTTTCCTTTTTACCGTCTCAAAGTTAATCATTTCAACTCAACTTCTCACGGCAATCAGATTTCCAGTTGGGGGAGACTTATAACTAACATTAACACAGCACGCAACAACCCAATCTAGGTTCAGTGATTAATGCTCACAAATTAGTGCTCGATTGTTGGTACGATGATTGTTTGTTGACCTGTCAGCATTCTGAATTTCGAATCGAATCGTACCAACGTCGTTAGGTCGCGCGTACGTCGATTGGGTCGATCCTCTTTCTGTTAATTCTATTTTCTACTGAAACACAAGAGCGACGTAGTATAAACGCGCACAAAAGCACAAGACTCACACACTACACACATTTTCACACAAAATATCTCCTAAACTGGAATTATTTTATTGGTAGTCACCGATTCACTCGCTTAGCAATGTCAGGTTCAAGAGGCAACGACTTATGGAACGACTCCAAGTATGTAAAAATAATCTAACTCT